ATCACTAAGATCAATCAGCGGGTGTTCAGCATTTACCTCAACAACCAGACAGCCCAGAAGGATGCTGATGTGATTGCGTGGGCGACCGCCGTGGCTGGTGCTTCCACCGGTAGTGGCAGTCCGGTGTTTCAGGATTATGTGGTGAATACATTTGGTTCAGGAACCTGGGATTTATGGGTATCTCTCCATCCGTATGCTGACCCAAAGCCACAATATTATGATGCTATCCTGAATGGGATGGAGGTCTTCAAGTTACAGCTTGCTAATGGGAGCCTTGCGGGACTCAACCCAATCCCAACTGTTGAACCATCGGATGATAACGGGGCATCTAAGAAGAAGTCAGCTGTCGGGCCTATTGTTGGTGGTGTCGTTGGTGGTTTGGTACTTCTTGCACTTGGATACTGCTTCATTGTGATCTGCAGGCGCAAGAGGACTGCTGGGAAGGATGCAGGCATGAGTGATGGGCATTCTGGCTGGCTGCCGCTGTCACTTTATGGCAATTCTCACACTTCCAGTTCGGCCAAGTCGCACACTACTGGTAGCTATGCTTCATCTTTGCCATCCAACCTGTGCCGCCATTTCTCTTTTGCTGAGATCAAGGCTGCAACAAACAACTTCGATGAGTCTCTTATTCTTGGTGTGGGTGGATTTGGTAAAGTTTACCGTGGTGAGATTGATGGAGGAGCAACCACGGTGGCCATCAAGCGTGGCAATCCCATGTCTGAGCAGGGTGTGCATGAGTTCCAGACTGAAATTGAAATGTTGTCCAAGCTTCGCCACCGTCATCTTGTGTCACTGATTGGATACTGCGAGGAGAAGAATGAGATGATCCTGGTCTATGACTACATGGCTCATGGGACTCTGCGTGAACACCTGTACAAGACCCAGAATCCGCCGCTTACCTGGAGGCAACGCTTGGATATCTGCATTGGTGCGGCTCGTGGGCTTCACTACCTTCACACCGGTGCAAAGCACACCATTATCCACCGTGACGTCAAGACAACAAACATCCTCCTCGATGAGAAATGGGTTGCCAAGGTTTCGGATTTCGGTCTGTCCAAGACTGGCCCATCCATGGACCACACCCATGTCAGCACAGTTGTCAAGGGCAGTTTTGGTTACCTTGATCCTGAATACTTCCGCAGGCAGCAGCTCACAGATAAATCTGATGTGTACTCATTTGGTGTTGTGCTGTTTGAGGTCCTCTGTGCACGGCCTGCTTTGAACCCTACTCTTGCAAAAGAAGAAGTTAGCTTGGCGGAATGGGCTTTGCACTGTCAGAAGAAAGGCATCCTGGACCAGATCGTTGATCCCTATCTGAAGGGAAAGATTGCTCCACAGTGCTTCAAGAAGTTTGCCGAGACAGCTGAGAAGTGTGTTTCTGATCAGGGCATTGACCGTCCTTCGATGGGTGATGTGCTTTGGAACTTGGAGTTTGCCCTTCAAATGCAGGAGAGTGCAGAAGAGAGTGGAAGCATTGGCTGCGGGATGTCAGATGAAGGCACTCCCCTTATGATGCCTGGAAAGAAGGATCCTAATGATCCATCAATCGAATCAAGCACCACCACAACCACCACCACCTCTATTAGCATGGGCGATCAGAGTGTAGCAAGTATGGATTCGGACGGCTTGACTCCTAGTGCTGTCTTCTCACAGATCATGAACCCCAAGGGGCGGTGAGGTAAAACTGGCTCCACCTGTTGCCTTGCCGGCATAATTTATTCATTCAGCATATTTCTTGAGTTTGTTCTGTTGATGTTCTCTCAAGTTATGGACCAGAAGTCAGAGAAATTGTTTCATACTAGATATTATGTCTTGCCTTGTACTTTTCTCCACTGCTGTAATGACTATACACTTATTGGCTTGTATTTACCGCGGCTATTGACCCAACTAGTATCACTGTATGAGAAAATGATGTGCATGATCGTTGTTTCTGGGTTATCATGTGACGTGTTTGTTATGACTTAGGAACGAGTCTAAACTCTGAATCATCTAAGTGGATTAATTAATGGGCAGATCTTTTTCAGATTATTGGCAAAGTTGACAGCTGGGTCTTCTTATAGAAAAATATATTTCTCAATTGTAAATCTAAGTTGGTTGAACGGTTAAGAGTTCTCTTGTATATTATAACTGAAGCTGACGGCTCAGATAGCCTTCCTTTGGTCTGTAGAGTGTAGACAAATTGATTGATGTGTACAGAGTATTGAGCACGTCGCTTTTGCTAAGATGTGTGGGGCTGTTCAACAAAGCTCTTAGTACTATGGATGTACAGTAGCAGATATCGATTGACGGTGTGATGTGTCTAACATCATATGCCTGTCTTTCTGGTTAGTTCCTTTCCCTTTTGTGAGGTCGTTCTGCATAACTCCATTGTCTGGGCATTTCATCTTCAGTTGATAGTGGACTGTCGCTATAATTCAACGTCTGGGCATTCTAGGTTCACTGAATCACTGGTCACTTCGCTTTCATGAGCTCGCTGCCTCGCTCCTTCACAGCCTGAGCTGAAGCACATGGCGGTCTGCATTGTCATGGATGATCTGAGCTGGGAAGTCGCTTGAGTTGTTTCGGTGCATAATTGAGATACCCCTACTTTTTAAGATGATTGGGAGGCTCCTGCAACTTTCTTGAAGACCACTAGAACCCAATCACTGCCCACTCTGATTGATTCAATATGCCTGTCCTTCGTAGAGGGACGAACGTCCAATGATTTGATTTAATCTAATCTATGTGCCTTTCTGGCCAGACCTAAACCTGCCTGCTCCTAGAATACCAGGTCCTGCAAGAGACTTTGCTGAACACCCATATATGATCGGTTGGGAGTAGACAGCCATATCCAGCTATACCATCACAAGTCATAACCACAAGGCGTGCCAGCGTGACACCGCATCAGTTATGCGCCGAACGTCGATAGAGCTCATTGCGAGCTAGTCGTACCTGGCGTCCAGCTGAACTGAATTTCTTTTTCTTTCTGAAGGAACCAGCTCTGCTCGAAAATTAAAAAAAAAAGAATGGAAAACAACAAAGAAATGAAGCTCTTGGATAGGGGTGAAAGTGGGGTGGATAATTATCCGCTCCGATCCGGTCCGAATCCGATTTTCGAGGATTTGGAGTGGGATTTTAGATATCCTAGAGAATCCGCTCCGCTCCGATCCGATAGCATGCGGACGCGGATTAGGATATGGGGTTCGTAAAATCCGACGGATATGGATTATCCGAGATATTAAAGCGGATAATCCGAACCTCAAAATAAGATTATCCGACAATACTTGCCGGCTCAACAAACCACAATCCACATCTATCTATGATCTAGCCCATCCGTACAATCCTATGGCCCACAAGGCTTCCTATATATTAATGAATTGTATTATTTTCGATGTTAATAAAGAGAAACTGGAGGAGTTTGCTTGAGAACATTATTTTACGTGCTTTCTTTTATATTTTATCAACTGAGAACTTGTCATTGATATGGCGTGATTTCTTTGGATATTGTATGGTTGCTGGTAGCTATTCTACATCCTTTGATGAATTATTTATGAACAAATAATTCTCGATTTGATAGACATATTATATCCGACCTTGAAGCTCCGTTTCCGATCCGCTTCCGGTCCGAATCCTCCCCATTTCCGACATCCAAAAATATCCGTATCCATAATCGCATCCGCAAATTATCCGCTCCGCTCCGAATCCGATAAAAAAAATGAATTAGGATACGGGGAAGGTAATATTCGCTCCGCTCCGATCCGTTTTCACCCCTACTCTTGGATCACATCTGCCTGCCCCCTGATCGTGCGAGGAGATCGCTCTTGCCACTTGGTAACAGCTGTCTCCAATTGCGACCTGGATTACACAGAAATGGGCGGAATTTTGTCAAAATTATAATTGATGGATCGATGCACGACCAGGTAAATTCTTCTTTGAGTGTGATAAATACGCGTACCAAAATAATAAACATCTCTTTAATTAAGCTTAACCCTAAAGACTGAAACGAAGAGCGTGATCAGGTTTGTACTAAGGGCGCACACGAAAACTGAAAAGTCCAACCAACGGTCAGCCATTACGGTGGATGCATGCGATCAACACACGTGAAACAGTCGTGTCGGAGCAAGCAGGCGTGTACAAACGACGACACTCCAAGTTGTAAAATCCGTCGTTTCTTTTCGACCGGCTGTTTGCCGACGCAGAGCCTGTTCAACGTGAAACTTTCGCTACTTTCAATTACCACCATTGGATAAATGTGATAACAAATGACTGTCGCTAATTTTATTTTTATTTTTTGGAGGGGATGTCGCGCGTTAGAAACGATGTGCCTGGGCTTTGTGGAGCCTTGGACCGAGCATAATGGATCATGTCTCATTAGGCTTCAAGTTCTTGCATGCCCATTTAGAGTATATGGGTTGGGCTAACTTAAACTAGGCCAGATTAGACGGGCCAGATGCCGACGCGTAAAGACGGCCGAATGTTGCAAGAGTGGAGTGGGGGACGTGCTTAGCAACGATGCAAGGGGTGCTAAAAAAAGCACCGATGCAAGGGGTTAGCCAATAGTTGTCATTTCACATTTGCTTTATCATGTCAATCAGATGTAAGCGTATATATTTAGTTCAGCTATAAATGTCTTTATATGTTCGAAAAGGGCAAAATATGCATCCTGCAATTCAAGAGAAGAAGAAGGTGCTGGCGGTTTATAGTGAAGGGACCGGGCAACTGTTGAATCAAAACAAATGCTCCTTGCTGATCAATGACCGATGTGATGAAGCCACGGTGGGTAATATTCGTGCTGAATTGGGAGTTGAAACTGTCACTTTTGAAGCCAAGTACCTGGGGTTGCCCACACCGGAGGGTAGATTGAGCTCTGGGAAATTTAAACCCATCAAAGAAAGACTCGTGAGGAGATGCAAGGATTGGGATGAGAAATTCATGCCGGGTGCTGTTAAAGAGGTGTTTATTAAATCGGTTGCTCAGGCTATTCCCACATACACAATGAGTGTGTTCCACCTGCGAAAGGGCTCATAGCTGAGTTGGTTAGATAGCCTGAGTAGCACTTCTCAGGTCCTGGGTTCGATTCCCCGTGGAAACGAATTTCAGACCGGGGTTAAAAAAATCCCCTCGCCCTTCTTTTTGCAAAGCATAGGTCAAGGCCCGGCCGAGGTCGGGGTTTCGTGGCCCCTGTGACGTAAGAGCACAGGTTAAGGTCCGGCCCAATCGCTCACACGGTTACGTGCTCCTGTGTAAGCATAGGGAGGGGGTTCGGGGGTTTTCTAGGTCTGCGTGAGAGATCCTTCTCTTATAAAGAAAGCCCGAGGGGCGGCTTGTCCCCCGCAGGTCCAGTTTTTTTTTTAGTGTGTTCCACCTGACTGACATGTTCTGCAAAGAACTTACCCGCTGCATTCGTAATTACTGGTAGGGTGCAAAGGATGGGAAGAGGAAGGTGTATTGGATAGCATGGGACAAGTTTCTAGGGACGAAGAGTAGAGGTGGTCTGGGTTTCAGAGATCTGAGAATTTTCAATCAAGCACTACTTGCTAGACAAGCATAGCGTCTGCATGCCTTTCCAGAAAGTTTGTGCGCATGTGTGTTAAAGGCCAAGTACTACCCAAACGGCGATCTGCTGGACACAGCGTTTCCATCAAACCAATCGGCAACATGGAGAGCTGTGGTGTATGGGCTCGATCTGTTGAAGCATGGTGTCATATGACGGATAGGCACTGGGAAGAAGTTCGGATATGGCGCAGTCCATGGCTGCCACACCCACTGTCTCTCAAACCTGATGGTAAAAGGCGAGTCTGTAGGCTAAAATGGGCTTCACAACTCATTGATGCTGATCGCAGGACCTGGAAGGAGGATGCTGTGCACCGGTTCTTTATGATCATGACACGAGAGATACTGAACCTCAAGTTGCCAAGCACACTTCGGGAGGACTGCATTGCCTGGCACTATGAGAAAACAGGCATTTTTTCGGTGAGGAGTGCATATAAGCTGGGACAAATGTTGAAGACAGGAGAAGGCCTCGTGGGCTTCAGTTCAACACCTGATTGAAGCCGGCCGGTGTTGGAAGTATATTTGGAAGTTACCAGATCCACAGAAAATTAAATTGTTTGCACGGAAGCTTTGTCAGGAAGGATTTGCTACGCAATGCAACAGAAAGCGCAGGAAGATAGAACTGGTTGATACATGTGAAGTGTGTGGGATGGAAGCGGAGACGGGATTTTATTAATTTGTTGCGATCATGCACGTAATCTGAGGGATGCAATGCGAGAGGTGTGGGAACTACCAGAGGAGGAGAAGCTCACTGATGTTGGCCCGGAGTTGCTCTTACTGATGTTGCTATCGATAGATAAGGAAGTGGTTCAAAATTTGTCATGCTACTCTGGCGCACCTGGTATGTGAGGAACAAAATTATGCATGAAGGCAAGTACACCACTGTTCAGGCTTCAGTGCATTTTCTCCAGTCATATTGGGAGGAACTGTTAATGATCCAGCAAGGACGTGATCTCTCAGATGTCAAGGGCAAGCAGACAATACAAAGCTTTTGTGACAAACCGGGTGAAGCAGAAAAGTAATGTGATGCAACGCTGATCGCCTCCTGCTCAGGGTGGGTGAAGATAAATGTTGATGGTGCATTCGACCCGAGAACACATGCAACGGGGATGGGTGTTATCATCAGAGATCAGACATGTCAGATTATTCTCACTTCCTCACGGACAATATTCAATGATGTTAGCCCGGAAGAGGTGGATTGCAAGGAAGGGATGGCGCTGGCGGCGGAGTGGTGCAACCAACCTGTGGTGCTGGAATCTGATAATATCACCATGGTAAAGTATGTGAAGAAGCAAGTAGTCTCGGTCTACTTTGCTGTCGAAGAGGTCTTAAAGATGGCACGACGCCTCAATGGTTTCGTCGTTGGCCATGTGAGAAGAGAGCTTAACTGTATCGCTCATGAACTAGCGCAGCTGGCCAAAAGAACCAAGCACTCTGCGGTGTGGAGGTTTAGGGCCCATGTGTGTGTTCAATCATTAGTTACTCATCACTGTAATTTTATTTCTCAGTAATAAAGCTCTCTTTTCATTTGAAAAAAAGAAGAAGAAGAAATTGGAGGGAGAGTGAGACTCCCAAGTCCGGGAAATCTTTTCTTTGAAAAAAGAAGAAGAAGAAATTGGAGGGAGAGTGAGACTCCCAAGTCCGGGAAATCTTTTCTTTTCTGAGCTCCGGTCGTTTCCTTGAGCGTAACGTAATTGACAATTCCCTGTACCGTTTCGCTATACAAGGCACGACAAGCGGCTGCCTATATTTAGCCATGCGGGTTATCGAAACGCAAAACAACCGTTGGATAGATCGCGAAAACCTAAAACCTTTCTCCGGCCGCTGGATCCGCTCCTTTCCATAGGCTTTTCCCGTCAGGCACTCGTATCCGCTTCTTCCCTTTCGCTTCGCCGACCTCCCCCACGCCGCCGTGCCCTGACGCCTAGGTTTCCAGCCGCCTGCGACGCGGAGAGGGTAGCGAAGGCCAGCCACACCATGGCGGACGACGAGCCGTCGGAGAAGAAGGAGGAGGTCCCCGAGGTGAGGCGGCAGCTCGTCCTTTCCTACCCCTATCCGTTTGCGTAGCGCATCCGAGGTTGGATAGGTTCGGTTTGTGTGACGAATAAGGCGCCGATGGGGCGGATTTCGTGATTGATTTCCGCGTTGGTTCGTCGGGATTCGGGTGCGAATCTGCAGCCACCGGATGGATGTTTTGGATTACTTTCCCGTGCTTGTGCTGTAGATGTGGAATCTGCTGAAGCGGACTGAATCGAAGGATAGGGTTGATTTCAAGTCAGGACGCTGTTCTTTCTACTGAGCGTGGCTGATTTGTTAGGTGTAAATGTCTAGTAGTTTGTTTCGTGTGTGGGAAACCTACTGATACCCTCATCTCCTTGTTTTGAACTTTTGAAGCCAGGGTACATAAACTATTGGATTTTTCACCTTTTTAATACCCTGTGGGGATTTTCTGTGTTTTTCTATATTTCAAGTATATGTGTCGTGCCAATTTATGTATGCAAAAGTAAATATGGATGGACAACAATTGATGTTAATCACTATGCTAACTTGTCAAAATTGTCACGACTATGTGACTGGCCAGAAATTCTTGTATTGATAACGTTTGCAACTATTGCAGCTTACTCCTTTCGATCCGACAAAGAAAAAGAAGAAGAAGAAGGTTGTCATCCAAGATCCATCTGAGGAGGTTGATAAGTTGGCTGAAAAGACAGAGAGCTTGACAGGTGCGCCTAATGCTTGTAGGAAGGAATTTCTCTACTTCACAGGGGCATTTTTATGACACTTTTTTTCCCCGTTTCTGCAGTCACAGAGTCTGGTGAGCCTAGTTTTGCAGGCATGAAAAAGAAGAAGAAGAAACCTGTGAGTTTATCTTTCTGTCATTATTTCTCCAAATGATTCGACTAGCAGTTATGCTTCAGTTAATAAATTATGGGACTTTCAGGTGGAACTTGATCCGTCTCTTACTGAAGCTTTAGATGGTGATGACGCAGCTGGTAAATATAATCCCCACCAAATCATTTTGTTTACCGTCTTTGTTGCATATGTTAACGTGATTGAGCATCTATTCTCCAGATGATCAAGTTAGAGAGGATGAAGAAGGTGAAGGTATTGTGCTCGGTGGTGCCCCCAAATACCCTTGGGATGGAACTGACAGAGATTACAAGTATGAAGAGGTACTTGATGCATCCCTGTTCAATATTTCTCGTTGTCCTGTTGGCTGCGGATCCCTTTTTTAGGAGTATTGGTCGGATCCTGGTTGTACAGTGAAATCAATTTCAAATAGCTATGTAACTTAGGTCATAGGTAGAACCAACCAACTGTGTTGTGTGTCTCTACTCTCTTTCATATTTATGTTACAATGTTCATTCAGAAATCAGAAGCAAGAAATTCCCTTTTCTATTTGTTTTTTGATTTAGCTGTGGTGTCGTGTTCCTTGTCGATGCTATCAGTATACTGAACTGGCATTGCATCAATTTATCAGTTTTCTTAGTATTCATTCAGAAATCAGAAGCAGTAAAATTCCCTTTTCTATGCGTTTATTGATTTAGCTATTGCATTTTCCTCTTTGATGCTATCGGTAATAAACTGGCATTAAATATATTTATTAGTTTTTACCAGTAATTATTTCTGTTTCATGATGAAACCTTATGTTCAATCTGTTTGGCCACAGCTGCTTGGCAGAGTATTCAATATTCTCCGCGAAAACAATCCAGATCTTGCTGGTGATAGGCGAAGAACTGTTATGAGACCCCCTCAAGTTCTGAGGGAAGGAACAAAGAAGACTGTTTTTGTTAACTTCATGGACCTGTGCAAAACGTACGCTCCCACTTCATTTGATTATTATCGTCTGTTTTCATTGAATAAACAACCCAACTTAAAGGATTTTTTCCCCCTGTTGCCAGTATGCATAGACAACCTGAACATGTCATGATGTTTTTACTTGCTGAGATGGGAACGAGTGGATCTCTTGATGGGCAGCAAAGGTTGGTTATCAAAGGAAGATTTGCTCCAAAGAACTTTGAAGCAATACTCAGGAGATATATCAGTAAGTTCTTGTATTTCATGACTCTAAAACTTTTACATAATGCATATCCATTTTATCGTTCTCTTTTTATGGGCAAATAGTGCTGAACTCGAATCTTTCAGCCCACTGGTATGATAATGTAGAGGAATAGTTAACTAATTAACTTAGAGGGCCAGCCACAACTTATGATCCATTGTCTGCTTGTGACACGCTATGTAATCAGCCACTTAACGCAATGTTCCCGTTTTGCTGTGAACATTTCTGTTCGTCTTCGTAGAGTTTCTTCATAGTTAGGTACGGTACTGTAGTTATATGCAGTTTATTTTAAGATTCTGCAGTGTCAAAGAAGTATTTGTTACGTAGGTGTGTCTGTTGTATTTCTCTAGGATGTGTGAACTCGCCAGGTTGTTGGGTTATAAATGAGGCTTGCTATTGTTCTATACCTGTCTGTACCGCAATTATGAATCTATTGTAAGACCTGGGCACAAGGATTGAGAGAAAAGGAGTGCTTAAAA